ACACATGAGTTTTTTGAATTGAAATGTCAATTCTTGTAATCATATAGGATGCTAGATTTGCATCACGTATGAAGGACGCCGAATATCTCTCCCAACTAATTTAAAATGTTGCGTAAAAAACTCCTCAGCCAGAAGTCGAACTTGGAATCTCCAGCTTTCCGGGCTGTCGCCTTTCCTATTCGGCCACCGAGGCACTTGGAGTTTGTCTCGCAATATTAGAACATATATCAAAGATGGTCTGATAATTTAATGCCGCCCTTCTTCCACCAGCGTGTTTTTTAATAATTAATAAAGAATGAAGAATGAATCTTCTGGCTCTGAAGTTTATAAAATTGAGAAATATAAATCCGGTCATGTTCAATTTAATTTCAAAAGATGGGTATACCTAGAGTATTAGAGTTGGCAAAACAAATATTTACGATTCTCCTCATGATCCTCATGATATCATGAGACTCGTTGAATGGCTGGACGAAGAAGCTATCGATCTTATTACAGTAATTAAATTTGTATAACATTAACAATAATATATATTAATTATAATACTTTACTATTGTTTATTAGTATTTTATTATATATTTGAAAAATATATATATTTTCTATATACATTTTTATTTGCAGATTATTAGATCAGCATCAAAACGTGTTACACGTCTTCAAAACGTTTTAACATTAGTGGCCAATGAATATCTTAATTTTCCGTATTTTATTGTTAGACCTTCCATTGGGGTAATTATCGCAATACATTTACTGGCTATAAGGACTAATAGTTTGCAACAACTCATAAAAAATCAAATTAAAAAATTTTCATGCTGCGCAGTACTTCTCATTTTATTGGAGCCATTGCCAGGATGGGTTGATACTTTAAATGGAGTTGAAGGTATAATTGTCGGGACAGGCAAAGATGTTATTAGACCGATGCACTACATACCAACTTACTGTACCGAAATTATTCCAGTCGACATTGCAATTAATAGTATAATGTTCTTCTCATGTGTATTATTGGTACCAACAAGAAAAAGTACATACTTATATTTTTTGTTTTATTAAATGTTTTTCTATTTTATATTGCATCTAAACAACAAATAAATTATAATTATTGATTTTAACAGATCAAAAAGCATACCTGTGTACAACGTAACGCAGGGAAATGTAAGGCTTATTACATGGGGTAAAATGATAGAGAAAAGCAGGAACATCACTTATGATTATCTTTTTGAACACAGAAAAAAAATGATGTTGAATCAACAGTATCAGTTTAATTGAAATATATCCTGTTGATGCAACATCAATATTATTGCACTATACATATTGCATAGCAGATAGTTGCTTTAAGAATCTAGACATTAAATTAATCGCATATGCAATCGAATAAACTATTTATTTTTGTGGCAGCCCGTGACGTCAACTTTACTTGAAGCAACTCCATTTTTTTTCTGTGAAGGACAGACTTGGTATCCGGATGGCTTTATACGTACGTAGGTTGTCTGAAAAGTTTTGAGTCTAACATAAAAACAAGTATTTTTTCGGTCAAATTCAGTTTTATTTTTTAATGTAGTCTCCTTTTAAGTCGATACACTTTTTCCAGCAATGCTCCCACTTCTTTAACCCATTCAAAAATAGTAATTAGCGTCTTGCTCTGCAAAATAGACTTCTACGGATGCGATGATCTCTTCGTTTGATGAAAATCTCTGTCCTCCAAGCCAAACTTTGAGCGCAGGAAACAAGAAAAAGTCGCTGGAGGCTAGATTTGGTGAATACGGTAGGTGGTTAATTATATAATTCGAATCGCAATTTGTAAATTTTTGCCATAGCAACTGCCGAAGTGTGAGACGGTACGTTATCTTGATGGAACAGCATTTTTTTCTTCTTCAAATGCGGCCGTTTTTTTACAACAAAAACTTGTGTAGTAACGGTCACTGTGAGCCTAACCACAGTTAGAAGTATATAAGTTTAATTTTCAAATTCTCTTTATTTAAAAAAATTGACGTTTCGATCCCTGGGTGGGATCCTCTTCAGAACTACAAAATAACAATATAATGAGATAGAATAATTTAAAGATTACAAATAAAGAAAACAAAAGATTACTCACATTACTTAATAAATAAACATATAAACGTACGATGTTGTGACGCACATATTAAACCGGATAAAACACGTGTTGTTCCTCTCAACAATGTAACGAGAGTGACGACAAATCGAGCATACAAATATACGCGAAAAGAAGGAGAGAACCAGAGACACCTGTTGTTTACAACAAAGAATTAAACATCTCAAAGTTTTCTAAACTTCTCTACTAACGGTAAATATAAATTATCTAGTAACTCAGTATCGC